CTCCTCCAGCCCGGCGCGGCCTCGTCCAGGCGGCCCCTGCACTCCTTCAGTGCCTGTCGGGATCCAGGAGGCTGGAGTAGCGCGGGCCTGCCGGGAACGCGCTCCTGCTGCCCTTTGCTCCCTGCGGGAAGTTTGCTCATGGAAATCTCAGCAGGTGCCTCTTGCTCAACAAGGCCGACCCTGGCCGCTTTGGCAGCAGCGGGGGGAGATGCTGGCAACCGCATCCGCTTGGATTTGTTGAGGCTCCGGGTCATGCTGGTGCTTGCACTCCGTAAGGGACTTGCTTGCAGTGCTGCTGACTGGCACCGTGGGCTGGACGGGGATTTTCGAGCACCGAGACACTTGGGAATCACCTGGGAAAGGGAGGTGTGAGCCCCTGCACCCCCAAGCATGGCACAACTCAGCCCAGGTGCAGCTCCCCCTCCAGGGAGGATCAGGGTGGGGGGTCTTGGCCCAAAAAGCAACCGGTCGATGGAGCTTTGTGGCGTCCCCGGGTGTCACCAGCAGCACGGGGAGGAGGCAGAGGGGACACGGGCTGCTCAGAGCATCCTGGAGATGGCGCAGGGGGAGCCCTGCAAACGGGGGAGCCTCTTGGAGCAGCTGAGTGTGCGGTTAGCCCTGACAAGGGGCTCCTTTCCCATGCCGGGATTGCGGGAACGCGGAACGTCAGCGCTTGTCCCCGGGCAGCTTGTCACAGCAGCTGAGAGGCTGCCGGTCTCGGCAGCGTTTTGCACACAGGAAAGCGCGGAGTGAAACGGGGTGCAGCACGAGCACCGTAAATGGCGCAGGGGGCTCTGGCCACTTGTTCCAAAGGAGAGAAAAAAAAAAAAAAGGCAATTCTTTCCAATAGGAAATTAGCCTGGGAACGGAGCCACCGCACATGGTGCAAAGCTCACGAGACACAGGCTTTGAGGCCCTCTTCCTCCTTTCTCGGACCACTGTCTTCCAGGTCTGCCAGAAAACAGCTATTTCCTTTGGGGCTCTCGTCCCCACCTGCTTGCTCTGAGGGCCGGGCTCCTCCGTGCCGGCCTGCGAGGACCTCCCGGGTTTCCTCGGCAAGCGCTGGGAAATCACTGCCCGCTTCCAGCCTCCCGTACCCGAGGTGGCTGCAGGAGCCCCGGGATGGGGCTTGGGATGAGGCTGCACCTGGGACACGGAGGTGGGAGAAGGTTTGAGCAGATGGAGCGGGATATTGGCAGCCATAGCTCGGGGACCCTGCAGGGATTTTTTCATTCTTTGAAAGCTGGGGATTTCTGACCGCATCCAAAGGCTTCCCAAGAGTTGTGCAGGGACAGGAATAAGGAATATTTAAACACAGTGCCCTGATGTCTCTGCTGGGTTTGCTGTGGGGAGCTTAAGGCTGGCTTCACCTCACTTCTACAGGCACGAGCATCAACAGTGTTAAGAGGCCAAGTTCATCTCGCTTAAATATCCCCATCACTGTCTACACTTGTCGTCTCAAGACTAATATGAGACAGGACCCTCAAGAGGGGAGTTTCTCATAATGATTTTAGGAGCAGCTGAAGCAACTGTTAGAATTGCATTTCTCTTTCCTTTGACCCTAGAGGGAGCTGAGACACCTAGTTTGGAGTAGACACCACTTTTAGAGCCCAGCAGAGATGAGCTCGAGCAAGGGGTAAGCAGCAGCTTGCAGCCCTGAGCTGCCTGACCTCAGGATGTGAAATACGAGCAGTGTGACAAGTGGACACATGTAGGAGGTCATATAAAGTTGTCAGGTCTGTTTTTCCACTGCTAAATGATCAGCAGCACTTTTTGTTTACTACCTGTCTGTTTTGTTTGCAGAGACCCGGCTGTGAGGGTGTTCCTTCAGATATTCCTGTAGATCAGCTGGCTCTTACGCTGCTTCTGAAGACTCTCCTGAAGGCTTTTGCCACCTCCTTGCCGTGCTGACTGGAAGCTCTAAGAAGCCACCAGGAGCTAGCCGGGTAGATACGATGCAGACCAAGGTGGCCACCTTGTCCCCCAGGGCAACGGGCTACCAAGCCAGGGGCAGGATGAAGCCGCAGGAAAGGGCACCAAGGAGATCAGTCCTTAGAAACGAGCTTGGAAGGGTGGGATGGCGCCGTCCGCCCTGGCTGCTGATGGGGGCTCCTGCTGCCTCCCAAGCACGGCCAGCGAGCGGGGCTGAGGTGGCAGAGGGCTCGTCCTGCTCTGTGGCCACCCAGACCCGCTCCCCAGCAGCCGCTGGGGCCAGCCGGTGGCCAAAGGCTGCTCGGGAGGCGCTTCTGGATGCCCTTCCTGCACCGCGCGCCCGGGCTCGCACGAGGCTGCAGCCGGAGGCGCAGTTTTCCAGCAAAAACACGGACATGGACGAGTTTCAACTATTAAGCACACTCCTGATGGCTCTTAATGTTTAATTTTTGCTGGTGCTTGACAACATCTCTCCTTAGAAGGAGAGTTTTTTTTTTTTTTTTTTTTTTTTTTGACATCCTGGTGCTAAGTAGTTTCTCATTTGGGCTCTGGTCTTGTCGCGTTCTCGCAGCTACACGTGGGGTGAGCCCTTGCAAACGGTGTGATCCGACACGTCGCCTTTGCACACGCATGGTCCCTGCTGATAAAACCGACGGCTTGCACTCCCAGCTGAAACCACCTCGCTACGGTGGATTTCCTCCCAAATCCGTGTTTTCAGATCCCGAAAGCATTCCTGAATTTTCAGCCTTTCAACTGGAAACATCCGTGACTGCCCTTATCCCTGCAGCAGGGTCTTGTTAAGTGGCCGAGCAAAACCTAGTTCAGAATGAGGTATGCGTGGAGAAAGTGCTCTTCCTTTTCTAAATAAAGCCACGGCCCAGCTGGGGATGGCAGGAGCCCAAGGTAGGATGTTACAGTTTATTTTGGAAGCAGATGCCAGAGGAGGTGAAACTTTCTTCACATCTGGCCGAGCAGATGCTGGGAAGTGGCAAGGCCTGGACAGTGTAGCCTTCCAGCCCTTTATTTGCAGGCATTTCTGACTTCACTGATCTATACAGTGAGTTCCTGAGATGTTTTGAAGTAGAATTTTGCTCTCCTGGCAGATGCAAATCTTCCCTCGATGCTTGTTGTTTCTTTTACATGGCCAGGAGGAAATTCAGCAAATTGAACACATGCATACAGAGCAAATATATATATCCAGCGGAGACCGAGAGTGGGTGTTAGCTGAGATGTTCAACATGGGCAAAAATTCTACGTGTGAGCTTGGCTTCCAGGATGGGCGTATAAGTATAAACATATATTATCCATAGTTTACGAACTTGCAGGTTCAATGAGTTTAATATCCAACTATGGAATTGGATCCAAGATAAGATGTCACAGTCTGGATGAGTGGGCCACTGGGTGGATAAAAACCTGGTCGGATGGTTGAGCTCAGAAAGAGGCTCAGCCTGGAGGGAGAGAGGTTTACAGGGGGACCAAAGCCCACGGGGAGGTGATGGAGAAGACAGAACAAGGCTCTTCCCGGTGCGACGTGGCAGGAGGACAAGGTACAACAGCCCGGAACTGCAACGGGGGACGCGACAAGAGAGCTTTTCCCTGTGAGGAAGCCGCCTTGTGCAGTCTCCATCCTCGGAAGAAAACCCAACGCGTAAAAGCACCGACCAACCTGGGCTGACCTCCGCGTTAACCCTGCTCAGAGCAGGAGCTGCGCTAAGGGCTTCCCTAGGCGCCTTCCAGCCGCAGTTATCCTGGGATAGGATGACACGGAGTCAGCCAGCACTGAGTACGTTTATGAGCCTGGTGGAACTGAAAATCGTTTTCCAACCAGTAAGCCCTACATTTTTTTTTTCCCAAAGAAAATAGATTCTGATGGATAAATGATTTTCACAGAAAGTTTCTGCTTCCTGTGAAAAACTTTATATCCCCATAAAAATACCAAAAGTCAACATTTTGCTTTTCTTCCAAATGTTTCTGCTTCTAGCAAGGCTGTTCTGGTATTGGTCCAAAATGAGAAATCCACATTTTCTGGGGCAAGCGTCAGTTAGGAGAAAGGAATTTGACTTTTATTTTTATTTTATTTTATTTTTATTTCATTTCATTTCATTTTTTTCTGCCCTTTTCCCTGGAAAGGCATAAAAGATCCCTGGGTGGTCATGATGCCGAGCCCTTCTTTGCAGACAAACGTGCTGCTCTGTAACCCCAGGTCCATGTTGTCCCCTCTCTGTGCCCCAGAGATGGACAAGGCCGTGGAGCAAACCTCCACCAAGGGGGTTAATGACTGGAGAGCCCTGTGGTGCCAGAAGCAGGATTTGCCTGGTGTTCAGAAACACATCGGGTGGGATTTGGATGTCACTCGATCCTGGGTCGCACTGGCATTATTCCTAAACCCCATCCCAAGTATGTCCATCAGCATCTACCCGCTACATTCAAGCCTTTGATTGGTTGCTGCCAGGAAAACATCTGATGCTGTAGAAAACTTGTCCAGAAACTCCAAGGCTTCAGTGAAATATCACATGGCTTCTGCAGGGAAAGGACTCGGGGAGAAGGGAACATCCTATGGGGGAGACACGGGCAGGGCCCCTGGCACACAGCAGGGACTAGTGAGACCAAGGCAGCAGCTGGGAGGCCGGTGAGGCAAGGCTGGGAATGGAGCCCAAGTGGTGCCCTGTGGGCAGGATGCCCCTCCAAGCCCCCCGTGCCTGTTCCCGTTCCCCAAGCACCTTGTCCGTGTCTCTGGAATAGCGAGGATGGGAAGCAGGGTGGCCTCAGTGTCCCCGGGGCTCAGTCCCAGGCCCCCTCCCGTGCTGAGCCTCTGCCTGAGCCCAGAGCCCGCTCACAGGGCGCACAAGGACCCATCCAGCCCCCGTTTATTGTGGGCGCCATGAGGGGAAGCAGCCAAGGTGGGAGTCTCGCCCGAGCCGGACGTTCCTCCGGGTTTGACTCCGTGCGCTCAGCGGGGCTGTGTCAAGGAGCTCACGGGACAAAAGTGAGGGCTCCCCAGCTCCACGCGGTCTCCAGGCAGTGTCCGCAGGAAGGGCAGAGGCGCTCCGGCCGCCGCGGCTGGGATCGCATCGGTGGGAAAGGCAGGGCCTGCAAAGCAGAGCTGTGAGTCGCAGCCGGTCCCCGGCGCTCGCCCCTTCCCTGCCCTCGCCCGGCCCGTCGCGCTGATCAGCACCGTGGAGCGGGGAGATACCCAGGTGCTGAGCAGTGCTGGGTGGACCCTACAGGCACTTCTGCCAGTGCGGCAGGAACGTCGCAGGTGCCTCCGCCCGATGCGGCCCAAGCCCACAGCGAGTCCCACCCTGCTGTCCCTCAGACCCTGCTTGTCCCCAGCACCCTCAGGCCCAGGCAGGGTTACTCACAGGCTGGCGAAGGTGCTGGGCAGCCCGGTATCCCTGGTAGGAGAGCAGGACGGCGATGCAGAGCTCCAGGGTACTGAGGAAGAGCATCACGCCTGCAATCCCATTGCCAGCTTTCTGCAGGTGACAAGGCCCCACAGAGCGTCACGACACGTGCGTGACAGCCCCATGCGTATGCCTGGGAACCCACCTTCAGCCCCAGTAGCTCATCTGAGGCCCCGGTCGGTGCCACTGGAGCAGCATAAGTGCTTTTTATTTTCTAGCTGGGAACCACTGCTTCGTCACTGCCCACCTGTCCGGTGGTCACAGGCACACGTGGTTCCCCAGCCCCAGGAATGGTTTTGTCAGGGTGCGGCTGCAACCCTGTATAAGTGGAATGGAAATCACATTGTGGGCCAACACCCAACTGTGGCGTGAAAAAAATATGACTGCCTTTCACAGACATGTTTCTGGGCCTAAAGGAAGATGTAGAAGAAAACCGTTGTTTCCCTCCCTCCCAGCAAAGCCCAGGGATTTTTAACCAGTCCAGCTTTCTCCAGCCTCCTCACTCATGTCAGTCACTGCAAACTTTCTCATAGCAATAGGGGGATTATCATATTATAAGTGCCACTTAATTTTAATGGCAGCCCCAGGTAATGAGTCGAGCTGGGGCTGGCAGCTGTTGCAGGTCAGCTGGGAGACACGAGTGAACAGCCCATGAGATGGCAGCCGGGCTCTTTCTGCATTCGTTAACGTGGGCATCTGCCAAAAACTTGTGCTGCATTTGCTCGGTGGCCGCTCTTGAGCTCTGAATGGGAACTGCATAGTGGGCAGGAGAAAAGAAATTCCCCCCTCCTGGCTGGCTGCGCAGGACTTAGACCTGGAGCCACTCACCGAGAGCTGTAATGACGAGAACTGGTACCTCTTGTTTCCAGCTAGCTCTGCCACTGAGAGGATGGTCCCAGTTCCTGCAAACATGGCACTAACTATGTTTGTGCCCAGGCTGCTCTTCACCTGCAAGAGAGGTGCACAGGGCTGACTTACCAACAGCACCGACGGCGCCCGACCTTCGTGTCTGTCCCCACCAGCTGACCTCAACTCTGTCTTCTCAGCATCCAAACCCAAGCCCGAGGCCCGAGTCCTGCCCGTCCTTGCACGCAGGCTTTGCAGAGCATTCCTCATAGCCACCCCCCGCCCAAGTGCTGGGAATAGCGACGCAGCATGGCAGGATAGTTGGGAAACGCCAGAGCGGGCATGCTCACCAGGATGGGCTTGTCCGCATACTCCACAGCCACCGAGAGGGATCCTGAGGTGACAAACTGTCTTGGAAAGAGAAAGCAGGGATGTTCCTGTGAGTGAAGGCTTGCTCAGGTGTACCACAGGGTACCACAGGGCAATGGGAAACGGCACGGGACAAAACTTAGCCCCTAAACCGGGCCAGCTGCAGTGGGTCCAGCGCTCAGCATGACCCCGTGACTTGTCCACTCTGCCCAGCACATGGGCTAGGTGTGCAGAGGCAGGAATAACAGAGGATCGCTTTGGAGAAAGCAACTGCCCAGAGTGCCTCCGGGATGGGAGGATTTCGCTTTCCTTCTCCTGCGGGGAGGATAAAGCCACAAGGAGCGAGCACCAGAGACGCAGCACTTTCCGCCGCCCTCTCTGGCTGTGGGTCGCACGTTGGCGCCTGGTCTCCCAGCCCACGACCCAGCAGCTGCCCCGCCACCTGCACGCACCATGAGACCGCTCCAGAACGGGTAGCCTGTGGCCACGGTCAAAGTCCAGTAGATCAAGGAGGGCTGCGAGATGATGGAGGCCACCCCGCCGAAACCGAGACAGGCCACGCCAATGAGGATCTGCAGGGCCTGTCAGGAGGGAGGGCGCCGTGAGGGGCCGCGGGCCTGCCGCCCTCGAGTGGGGCCACGGCAGCCATGGTCCCTGCCCGTCGGAGAAGTGGCGCCCTGGGCTCAGAGCAGCTGGCAGCGGCGCGTCCCCATGGCGCTGCGCGGGATGGCTGGAAACCAGCGCCGAGGCCCTGGATGCAGCGGGAAGCTGCGGCGCTGCCACGGGACGAGGAGCCTGGGGAGAGAGCGGGCGGCCCTGCTTACCCTGCCGGGACGGTGCAGCTCGACACCCAAGTGGAGGGAGGGCTCGCAGGGGCATAGCGGGGCTCCCCTGGACGCAGATCCCGCCTGGGAACCCTGGCACAGCTTGACGTGTAGAAGGCAGCATCCCAGAGCTGGCGTTTCACACCTTTAGGCGGCTGGGTGCGAAGTGCCCTTTGAGGAGCGCTCGTTCAAGCAGGGCCTGTTCAGCCTGGAGAAGAGAAGGCTGAGAGGGGACACGATCAGTGTCTACAAGTACCTCAAGGAGGGCAGTGGGGAGGATGGTGCTGGCCTCTTTTTAGTGGTGGCCACTGACAGAACTAGAGGTAATGGCCGCAAACTGAAGCACCAAAAGTTCCACAGGAACTTAAGGAAAAAATTCTTAACAGCGAGGGTGCCAGAGCACTGGAACAGGCTGCCCAGAGAGGTTGTGGAGTCTCCTTCTCCGGAGATCTTCAAAACCCACTTGGACGCAGTCCTGTGCCACGTGCTCTAGGTGACCCTGCGTGTGCAGGGGGGTTGGACTAGATGACCTCTAGAGGTCCCCTCCAACCTTAAGCATTCTGTGATTCTATGATTCTCTGGTTTGAGGAGCCAAAAAAGAAGAAGGGGGTCAATATCTCCGCTAGATTTGTACAGAGCTGATATGTAGGACGGGGTCCTTCTCTCCTTAATTACCTGCCCTAATTACTTCCTTCCTTGGACAAGGATGCACAACCTCACTGTCTGGGGTTGGCACATGGCCCATCTCCCCAAGAGCCACCAAGGCCTCCTTTGGATGGGTCTTTTCCAGTGGCAGGAGCCACAGGGACGGATGTTGGGCCACGTGACTCTGCCATCACGGGACACAGTGAGCTGCCCTTTGGCCACCTGTGCCTCGGTGCGGGTGTCCTGCGCCCGCCACGCATGGAGGGCGCAAGGACGGCAAGGCTCAAAACAAGCAACGGGTGGCAAATGCTCCCCTGCGAACCACAGCCTTCCCTGGCACTGCCCCTTGGCATTCGCCCTGATCACCCGCTCCCTCCTCTGTACCCATTGCCCACGAACACCCTCCAGGCCAGAAGGGTGAGGTGAAGCCACCAGAGACCCCCCATGCACGTGTCCCCCTCTCCCGGCGGCCCCGCCGGCGCCCCCAGCCCGGGCACTGCTTGTCCCCGCGCGCTCCGTGCCGCGTCCCCGCCTGTGCCGGGAGCAGGAAGGAACCAGGCTCTTCTCGCTCAAGGGCTGGTTTTATTAGCGCTGGACCTTGGGTGCGTCCCGGGTGGCAGCCAGGCCCCCGCCCCTCCCGCCAGCCTTCGCGCTGTCACCTCGAGGCAGCCGCCTGTCTCCTGCTGACACCTGGCAAGGACTAGCACAGGCAGGGGCATCCCCAAGCCCCCGGCACGGCTCATTGCAGGGCAGGGAGCTGCAAAGTGACCTTTTTCCTTTCCCTTTTTCCCCAGGAAAGACCTGTTTTCCCATTGAGTTTTCAGCTGTCCTAGAAAACCCAGCACCCCAAGCCCCGTATCAGCCAAGGCCTGCGCGAGGCCCAAAGGAAAAGGGCCCCACATGAGCAGGAGTGGGCTTAGGTGGCTCCGAGGATGCAGGGATGGCACGACAGGGGTGTGGGATCGCCAACCTTGGAGATACTCAAACCCACAAGCAGGCACCGAACAACCTGCTCCTGGCCACCGGGGGCCGAGGTTTGGACCAGGACACCCCAGTGCCTTGGCCAGCTTGAACCATTCAGCAGTTGATTAATGACGCACTTAC